GGGACACTCGGGGGAAGATAAAAGGAACAAACTGTGTACCATTTCTCCACTAAGATACGAGCAGCAGAACAATGGAGAGGTGAAGGAAAAAGTAAGGGGACAATGGGAACATCAGAGCAGAAGAATTAGGAGCCCCAGCTGTTGCTGGGGAGGGGAAAAGAAAGGAACAGCCATGAAAGTGACCAGGACGAGCACCAAGCATTGGCTTCTGGAGACACACGCAAAGGGGTGAAAACCGCGAAATTAGAAGTTGGAGTTCAAGGAAATTGGGGTAATAACCTCGAACGTTCCATTAAAGAATAGACATCGACGAGAAGAGAAAGGACAACAACAGAGAACAAGGAAGAAACAAAGGCAAAAGAGCAACATAGCACGTTAAAGAAGATCAGAGTCGGGATCAGGGTTAGCAAAGTCAGGGTAAGGGGGCATGGGTAAACTGAGCATAGACGGAGGGAAGCAAGAGGGAGAACAGACCAGAGGTAGACAGGCGGGGTCTGGAGGAGGAAGAGAAGGAGACAACAGAGAGGAGCAGTCAAGGACAGCAGCGGGAAGAGGGGGAGTAGAAAGAGGGGAGCGCACCTCAGCAAGGGCAGCAACTGAGAGGGAAGCGGGGGCCAAAGAAACCTCCATAGCAGGAACAGGGCGCACAATCACCGAAATGGGAAGGGAAGGAGCGAGAGTGTCAGAAGTAGGGTCCGAGGAAGAAAGCGAAGCCTTCTTACCCGCTGGGGAGTTGAAAGGAGAGGAGTCAGACTTACGCTTCTGACTTAGAGAGACAGGTGTCCCAGGAACTTCGTACTGGACAATGGATTCCAGCGTCTCAACAGAAGCTGAACGAGAGCACACACGACGGCCGTTGAGAGAGCAATGGACATCAGCCCGCACTGACAGGCAGCGGGGAGAGCCAATAGACGGAGGAGAAGGATGGGAAGGAGGATCAGAGGGAGACGAGGAAGAAGCCACAGGAGACATGACAGACCGGGGCAGAAAGAAGAGGAACCCCATACAGAGGAGCAGGAGAGGGGACCCTTTGTGACAGAACTCAAAGGAACAGAGGAGGGAGCAGTGGGCGTATCAGGGTCCAAGGCCCAGAAACAGTTGAGAGTGTGAGGAAGGTGGGAAGGATGAGGAGAGGATGAGCGCAACACGCGAGCATAAGAGACATTAGCATAAGGCGGGAGCCGGCGAACCTGGCGCCTCGCCTCAGGAGAAGATAAACGCTCCCAGTGCTTCAAGTTGAGGACGGCTGCCTCAAGCTTGTAATAGCTACACGCACGGGAGAAGGTAGGATGGGCCTCACCGCAGTTGAGGCAGTGAGCCTGGGAAGAAGTACACTCCAACTTAGAGTGACCTTCGCCCCCACACAAAGGACAGAAAGTCCCAGTCCCAGAGCAGCGGAGGCCACCATGCCCAAACCTTCAGCACTTGTTGCAGAGCCTAGGAGAAGGAATGTATTCCTGGACAGAGAACCTGGCACCAGCAAGAATGACAGAGGGTGAAAGGGTCCGATCATCAAAGGTAATCTTCACAACCTGAAGGGGTTGACAGCGACGACCACGAGGGGGACGAGTAAACGTGTCTACCTGGAGGACAGAATGGCCTTGGGCATCGAGGATATGCCGAATATCATCGTGGCAGTCCTGCAGATTCCAAACACCGGTCGCAACATGGCAAGGGAGGAGAATAGTACCAACACTGGCATTCAACCGAGCGTTCTGTGAGACCCGAACAGGGTCTCGCCAAGGCAGGATAAGGCAGCCAAGCAGGAAGCTGCATCCTGAGAAGGAGCAGCAACGACACATGTACCGAGACGAGTAGGGTTGAAGGTAACAGAAGCATCCACGGAATCCACAAGATGTCGATGGAGGGAGAAATCGTCAGGAGGCGCAAAGTCAAGAGGGAGGAGATCAAATTATTTGGCGCATGAAGCGGGACCAAACAGCGCTTGATAGGCATCAGAACGGGAAGGAATCGAGCGAGTGCGGCCGTGTCGAGGACGGCGTTGAGAACCCTGAGAGAGACAGGGGTTAAAAGGCGCAGTAGTCACAACTAGAGATTGAGCCGTGCCAGGGGACGATGTAGTCACCACTGGGGGCTTGGGGCTCGACCCAACCACAGAAGAGGGAGGGAAGCCGAGGGGAGTAGTCAGAGAGGCCAAAGGAGGAACAAGGTCGGGCCCCAATGCAGCGGAGGCCACAGAGCCCGGTCTTCCAACACGGACCAACTCGGGTTTGGTCGCCCACCCACAAGCCTGAGAAGGTAAAGGAGGAACAGAATGCAACATGGGTACGAAAAAGAAACATTCATTCACAAATGTGCCCCCACACCCACCACGGAGCCACAATTAGAGGCAGGACTATCGCCGATCATGCCGGGGCCTCCTAAGGGTGCGTCGTGAGTATACGCCCCACAAACGCCACCGTAAAACTGTCAGTCCGTCGAGATCGGGTTCAGTGACGAAAGGAGGATTGACAATAAATGGTTCCCCTCGCTCTCGACGTTGGGTACTACAGTTCTACATGTGCAAGAGTATGCCTCCTCAAGCACCCGGGCGTCAAAATAGTAGTTGTCCAAAGGAATAACCAAAACAAGCAAAAGGTCGGCAGGAAATGACAAGCAGATAGGAGAAGAGGGGGGGAGAAAAACGAAACATAAGGAAAAGGAAAAGTTGTTCAGCACAATTAGAAAGGACAGAAGCAGGAGCACAAGGATACAAAAGGACAGACGACTGTCCCACGGAGCATCACTCCAGTAGCCGCCCACTAAGCCCACCTCACGGCATCAACGAGCTGAATGGGGAGGGGGGTGCGAGTATATAAGACAAGCTGTTTAAGTGTTAGCATAATTAAAACTCTGTTTAGTGTTTTCAGGTTACAGTTGTGTGTAAACTAAAGTTTTTGAAAATGTAATAAGTTATTACGAAACGCGTTCAAGCGTCGTGTCAGACTAGAAATAAAAATGAATTTTGGAGAATTGATTTTTGAATTACCATCGACAGTAAAAAGAAACATAAGAAATATTGAGAAAATTCGTGTTACAATTATTAATATTACTTTTTCGGTCATATTTAACAACATATGTTTACAAGAAAGACTGCTATCAAAATATACTAATAATATATATAATATAATATATATATATATAATATATATATATTATTATATATATAATATATATATATATATATATATATATATATATATATATATATATATATATATATATATATATATATATATATATATATATATATATATATATATATATATATATATATATATATATATATATTGTGACGGTAAAGTGTTGGAGTGTTGATGTTCGGCAGTCCTCCAATGGCAGGTGGCAATGCCTTGTCACATTTACAGAAAAAAAAGAGACTGCTTGCCTGTTTGTCTGTGGTAAGGTAATGGGAAGACACACAAAACACAAAATATAAACAATGAAATTTTAATTACTTTAGAAAACAAGATATGAACAAAGACAATCCATTGGCTTACATAAAATTCAAAACACGTCAACAAACAAAACGACATGAATAATTAATGAATGTGAAATTTACTCTAAAATAAAATGAAGTGCAAGACAATAATAATATTAATCAGGTGCTGAGAATACTGGCTAAAGCTGGCACCTCCCTTAGTACACGACAGCCAGGGCTTAGTCTACCAGAGAGAGATGTCAACTTCTAAGGGCACAGAGATATTCTGAGGAGTACGGCGTGAGCTGGCCCAGACGTCGACTCAGGTAGTGGGCGTGAGTGCAGGTGCAGGTGTGGTCGGCGATACACCAGCCAATCAGGAGCAGGCAGGCGGAGAATGGGTAGTTTGCTCGTTGATGACGGGCGGAGCCGGCACGTCGGGTGGTGCAAGGTACGCTTTGCTTCCTGGGCAAAACGTTTGGCGATACTGGTGGACGTATCTTCAATATAGTATCTTGTACTTGTAGAATGACGTGAATGATATAGGGAAGAGCAGGCTCAATCTCTCTTGAAAGAGATTATCGTCACAATATATATATATATATATATATATATATGTCAGTAGCAAACATTAGGGTAAATCCTCTCCTTCATCATTACACGGATGGTCCATGACAGCTTCAGTGACTCGCACAATACCTAACACGCAACGTTCGCTATTTCCAGGCACACACAAGACTCTTGCAGTTGGAGTGGAAGTCATGTGTGGCACGGTGACAAATACTATCTAACTGTACAAGATTATGCAGATTATGCAGTCTGCCCATCTCACTCTCGTTTGAGTTAAAACTGTCAATTATCATATGGTTAAAATATACATTTTCTTGCATCTCGTCTTTTTTTCTTTCTCTCTCGCCTCCTTACAATATATGATAACACCATTCCCTGTCTTTACTGTATTAGTGAACTAGTCAGTACATTCCTTCAGTAGCTCTGGGAACGTTCTATCAAGTCCATGTGAGCTATGTTCTATCTAGTTCTTTGATCAACATACTCTTCTGAATCATTTCTATACTATGTTAGAGGCTTTTCCTTGTATACTTGGCACAACACCATTAAAAAAGGCAGTCAACCCCTTGCTTCTTTAAAAAATGCCAAGTCTAGGTAACTCAACACTTTGCATATGATTCTTGTTTTAAGTTGCATTACACAGCACGTATTTAAATGTTACCATAGTTATATTTATTTTTGTAAAATATTTTTTTAAAGACAATGATTACGGTGTTTTTCTCTGATTGCAACTCTTCCGATTGTAATTGTTCTTAATTCAATTGTTCCGAATGTAATTGCTCTGAATGCAATTGTTCCGATTGTAATTGCACTGAATGCAATTGTTCTGATTGTAATTGCTATGAATGCAATTGCACATAATTGTTTTCTTTTCCTTGCATTCAATTATGCAGCTGTAATTTTCATTCTGCACTGTGTGTGTGAGTGCTAAAACTGCACTGAGTGAGAATGCGTGTACAAATCTAGTTAATACAATATTATTATAACTGTTCCATTGTATTCTTATCACAGGAGACATTCATCTTTATGTGTTCGTGGGCTTCAAGGACAATGGAAGAAATGGCACGTGGAAGTGGTTGGATGGTCGCACAGTCGACGCCGCAGACTGGTATCCTGGTGAACCAAACAACCTCGATGGAGACGAATACTGCGGACATTTTCGGTCGCATTTCGACCCGATGCTCAATGATCACTCCTGCTCGGTTTTCTCCCGATTTCTTTGTCAGTATCACCCTGCCAATTGAGGTTGTTGAGGCGTCTCTCTATGAAAGGAATAAGTGGCTTGTTTAATCTTGTTTTATTTTAATGTTTCCACGTAGTTTAAATAAAAGGCATTTGCAAAATCTTTTTAGTTAATTATCCTGAAGGTAACATTATTAAGTTTCATTCCATCACAAATTATGAGGTAGTTATAGAGTTAAGAGCTTGTTATAACACGAATTAGGGGGTGAGTCTTAATAGATTTGAACTAAGCATTATCTTAGAGGTTTGCTCTACCTGAAAGTCTTACACTACTTCTGAGTCATACACTATCTCTGAGTTTTACACAATCTGAGTTTTACACAATCTGAGTCTTACACTATCGCTAAGTCTTACACTAACTCTCAGCCTTACACTATATTTAAGTACTCACCTAATTGCTCACCTAATTGTGCTTGCGGGGGTTGAGTTTTGGCTCTTTGGTCCCGCCTCTCAACTGTCAATCAACTGGTGTACAGATTCCTGAGCCTACTGCATGGGCTCTATCATATCTACATTTAAAACTGTGTATGGAGTCAGCCTCACCCACATCACTGCCCAATGCATTCCACCTGTTAACTACTCTGACACTGAAAAAGTTCTTTCTAACGTCCCTGTGGCTCATTTGGGTACTCAGTTTACACCTGTGTCCCCTTGTTCGCGTACCACCAGTGTTGAATAGTTTATCCTTATCAACCTTGTCAATACCCCTGAGGATTTTGTAGGTACTGATCATGTCTCCCCTTACTCTTCTGTCTTCCAGTGTCGTAAGGGTGCATCTCTCGCAGCCTTTTCTCGTAACTCATGCCTCTTAGCTCCGGGACTAGTCTAGTAGCATACCTCTGAATTTTTTCCAGCTTCGTCTTGTGCTTAACAAGGTACGGGCTCCATGCTGGGGCTGCATACTCCAGGATTGGTCTTACATATGTGGTGTACAATATTCTGAATGATTCCTTACACAGGTTCCTGAATGCTGTTCTCCTGAGGTCTTCGACTATATTTAAGTCTTGCACTGGCCGCGAGTGTTACACTGGCCGCGAGTGTTACACTGGCCGCGAGTGTTACACTGGCCGCGAGTGTTACACTGGCCGCGAGTGTTACACTGGCCGCGAGTGTTACACTGGCCGCGAGTGTTACACTGGCCGCGAGTGTTACACTGGCCGCGAGTGTTACACTTGTGGGAACCTACCTGTGAGATTTATATTTATTTAATTTATATGAATTTATATAGAATTTATATTTACGTTAATTTGTATACTTCGATAGCAATTTGTATGATGTTAAGTGGACTGTATTTCTGCAATAATCTCACAAATCGATCCTCTACACATTAGGGGGGGTTTATATTGAATTTATATATATGCAGCCAATCAAACTACAGTATTAAAATACATATAGTGTACATTGAAGAGGTTCCTTATCTTATTGTAAAGCAGGCCTTAGTCCACCAGGTATAACTAGGATGTAGACACCGAATTATCCTCTTTGAGGTAGCTTCCATCACCCAGTAACTGGTACACAAAGCATGCTTCCTCATCTTGACCTGTCAAAAGGGCGCTAGCTATAAAGCCAGAATCCTAATATATGACAGCTATATCAGAGAAAACACTGTACATTGAACCGTAAAGACCTAGGCTTAATTACCTTTCATTAAGAGGCAGTTCGTATTCTAACCGGCTCGCCCCTATATAATGACGTTAATGGCCATAAATGATAGATAAATGGGTTTCGGCAGAACACTTAACTTGTATTTGTTGACAGCGTGTTGATGATGGTACACCTTTGGTATCCATAACACTTCGTCCAAGTAAAATTAACAGGAGCCGTATTTGCTCCCGTGAGCCTCTGTGGTCTAAGTACAATAACAATGGCTGACCACTCCCTCCTCACTGACGCTACTGGCCTACATTGTCTAGATGACAGTAAGTGATAGAAGGGTCACATTTACTCTGTTTTAATTCTGATAATTAAGTTAATTTATATGAGATGTTTTTATGATAGCAAAGTCCACAGACTAATGTATTTAAGAATAATTCCCACCATAATAGGTGGTGAATTTATAATAGTATGTGGTAATGATATCCCATTTTCTATAGACGGAAATTCCACTACAAGTTGCATTTTCTATTGGTTAACTTGTTTATACAACACAGCAATATTATCTGCCTGTATGATATTATTAAATGGTGTCGGATTTTCCGACAACACTGGCCGCGAGTGTTACACTGGCCACGAGTGTTACACTGGCCGCAAGTGTTACACTGGCCGCGAGTGTTACACTGGCAGTGTGTACTCACCTAGTTGTGCTTGTGGGGGTTGAGCTGTGACTCTTTGATCCCGCCTCTCAACTGTCAATCAACTGGTGTACAGATTCCTGAGCCTATTGGGCTCTATCATATCTACATTTGAAACTATGTATTGAGTCAGCCTCAACCACATCACCACTTAATGTATTCAATATCAATATAACATTCAGTAATGCTTTCATTCAATATAACTACTCTGATACTGATTGTTTTTTTCTAATGTCTCATTGGCTCATCTGGGTACTAAGTTTCCACCTGTGTCCCCTGTTCTTGTTTCTTACACATACTCATTGTGCTAAAGAGTTTGTCTTTGTCCATCTTGTTAACTCCCGTTGAGAATTTCGTACGTGGTTATCATGTCTCCCCTTACTCTTCTGTTTTCCAGGGATGTGAGATTCAGCTCCCTTAGCCTTGCCTCGTAACTCATACTTCTCAGTTCCGGGTCCAGTCTGGTGGCATACCTCTGAATCTTCTCTAACTTTGTCGTGTTTAAGTAGGTATGGACTCCAGGCTGGAGCTGAATACCCAGGATTGGTCTTACATAAGTAGTTTACAAGGTCCTGAACGATTCCTTACACAAGTTTCTAAAGACAGTTCTTATGTTGGCCAACCCTGCATATGCCGCTGATGATATCACTTTGATGTGGGCTTTGGGGACAGGTTCAGTGAGATATCAACCCACACATCTTTCTCTATTTGACTCTCAGGATATCACCTCCAAGATTGTACATTGTATTCAGGCTTTTGTTCCCTTCGCCTAATTTCATTACTTTACACTTTCCTGAGTTGAACTTTAGTAGCCATTTTCTAGACCATTCTACCAGATTGTCCAGGTCGTCCTGTAGTCTGTCTATCTTCATTTGTTTTGATTCTTCTCGTAATTTTTGCATCATCAGCAAACATTAAGTAGAATGCGTCTATACCCTCAAGAAGATAGATTACTGTTACGGCCACTTGGATCAGTAACCGGATTCTTGCTGTTATAACCTCTTCTTCTATATCCAACCCAAAGTCGGTGGTACGCTTTCAAGAACATGCTGAGTCAAGTAGTAGTGAAATAAATAAAAAAAGGGGAGGGGGGGATATGCAATACACACTTACCTTCACCAATATATTAACACCTTCTCTACTATATACATATTTAATTAACGTATGACTACAACTATTTACAATAGTGTGTCTTTCACTCTGGACACATAACATGAGCAGTGTTCATCAATCCCGGTGAATGCACTTTCCAGGTACACGTCGTCCACTGCTAATGGCAAACACAGGCGAGTTCACCTTCCTCAAAATGGGCCAGTCCACACTCACACCGTATCGCCATAATCCCATACAGGGGTAGCTAACATCCTGACAGAAGTCTGTAGTCGCTCACTAGTAGCACTTCACAACAGACGCACCACTGTCGTCTCGTAACTCTTACTGGCCAATCCCGGGTACGTCGGTCCATACAACACTGCATACATCAGCAGCTAACACACTGCTCTGACCGACGGCGGCCACTTAGTCCTCACACAGGACCAAGTGTTTAGTTCAAGACGGCCAAGGTGAACTGCCTTCCTCAGTGCAATTGCCTCCATATGTCACCTCTGTGGACATAAAACGCCATTAGTTAGACGGACAGTACACTGGGTGCCCATAGGATAGCACCCATCCACCGGGAAATTGAAATTGTAACTTGTACCCACAACCTAGATGGCATTGATCTCAGTACACCACCCACCAGAGGTCATCCTCATCGACCTCCTCTTCTACCTGGGGCAGAAAACCGGAGCATTTCACCGATACCATGCCACCACCAACAGATGGCATTGTCTGCATAGCCTCCAATATCAGGGAATTGGAGTGCAGACCCAAAGATGACAAAAAATCGCCACTCTATACTCCAGCGATGTTGTCGATACCATAACATTTACATATATTAGAAACAGGATGGGTCCAAGTACAGAGCCCTCTGGAACCCAGCTGGTGACACCTCGCCACTCTGATGCCTCCCCTCTCACAGTTACTCGCTGTTTCCTGTTGCTTAGATACTCCCTTATCCACTGGAGCACCTTACCTTTTACTCCTGCCTGTTGCTCCAAGTTTTGTAACAGCCTCTTGTGAGGTACTGTGTCAAAGGCTCTCTGACAGTCCAAGAAAATGCAGTCTGCCCACCCTTCTCTTGTCTAATTTGTGCTACTTGGTCATAGAATTCTATTAGACCTGTGGGGGCACAATTTACCATCTCTGAACCCATGCTGGTGGTGTGTTACAAAGCAATTTCCCTCCACATGCTTTACGAGCCTTTTCTTCACGATCTTCTCTAGCACCTTGCATGGTATACAAGTTAGGGAAACTGGCCTGTAGTTCACTGCCTCTTGCCTGTCACTTTTTTTTAATATTGGGACTATATTAGCTGTATTCCAGCTTTCCGGTACGTCTCCCATTTCCAGTGACCAGTGAATGGCACACTTTGTTCTTCTGCACTTTCTTTTAGTATCCAAGGTGAGATTCTGTCAGGCCCAACAGCCTTTGTCACATTAAGCTCCAACAGATTTCATTTTGACCTTTTCACTTTTGAGGTCAAATTCCTCCAAGGTTGCTTGGTTTGCCTCTTCATTTAGGGCAGGGATCTCTCCTTGTTCTATTTTGAAGACCTCCTGGAATCTCTTGTAGAGTTCTTCACACACCTCCTCGTCTGTATCTGTATATCTGTTTCCCCGTTTTCTCAGTTTCATCACTTGTTCATTCAATGCTGTTTTCCTCCTGATGTGGCTGTGAAGCAGTTTTGGTTGGGTCTTAGCCCTACTCGCA